CTTCAAGCTTTAATAGTTTTTTTTTTTTTTTTTTTTTTTTTTTCTCAACTTTCCATCCTTCCCTGCCCCACCCTTTGGTTTTACTCAAGTATATTTAGTTCCTGACCAGAATTACCATTTCACTGTACATTTATGTATTTTTGGTTATGTTTCTTCTGTTTCAAGACTCTATACAATTAGTTGTTTGTCTAAGGACTTTTATACCATTGGTCAACTTTAGTTACAGCTTTAGACAAACTTTGGTACCCTTGACCAAGCTTTAATTAGCATTCTCTGAGCCCTCTTTCCACATAGCCCCAACTATTGGGGTGTACAGTGCCCTTAGCAAGAATCTTGTCAAGTCTGATTTAGCGAGAATTCTCCCCTCTAACTATATAGCCACCTCTTTGAGTGTGTGTGTGTGGGGGGGGTGTGTATCTGCATCTGTGTACTGTACTGTACCTAGGGCCTTCACAATGAGACATTCCCACCCCTTTAAAAATTTTTTTGAGAGCTCAAACTTGAGAACCTCCTGCTTGGGCCTCCCAGAATGCTGGTGTGCGCTACCACACCCGCTAGTCACCTGATTTGTACCTCACTATTCCCCAGATAATGTGTCTTCAGCTAGAATCCTGTTAGGTCAGTGTAATGAGAACCCTAACCTCTTAGTAATTTTCCAGCCCTGACCATTCCCCACCGTGTCCTTGATATAAGTATCCACTTTTCCTTCTTGTATTTTAAGTTGACCCAAATCTCTTGCAAATCCCTGTTCTAATACTTCCTATACATACTGTGATACTTCTGAATAAATTCTGTCTTACCATTTTACAGTCAGAATATTTTTGTTTGATTTTCTACAAGATGATTTTGCATTAAATAATTGTATTTCAGAGATGAGTTATAAAATTTTAGGGGAGGTTTTCTCTTACAAATGCTGAATATTAATATTGAACAATCATGTAGTTTGGATATGGTGAGAATAGAGCTTTCCCACATCCTCAAAATATGATTTACATAGAAAATAATCTCTGGATGTACTTTTTTTTTAAAAAGGAAAATCCAAAGCAAATAAATCACACTGCTAACTCTGGTACACCTAGCCATCAGTCACATAACAGCTGAGGAAGATACCTAATGAATGTTCATCAAATATTTTCCAATGACTGGATAAATCAATGACTCATAGGGATTATGATAATCAATATTGATAACTTACCACTGAAGTTTTGGGTTACTTTTTTTGGAAAATTAGTAGCTTCTCTACTAGCCAACTTATTGACCTGTTTTACTATAAGTTAAAGGAATAAAGATACTTTATGCAAATTTGAATATGAAATTTAAATTACAAATTTGAATTACAAAATTATAATTTGGTGTAATAATTAAATGATCTGAAAATAGCAAAAAGGCTTATTGCAGAAGCTATCCTAAAATATAGTTGTCCAAAATGTGATGTTTTAAAAATTAATCTTTCATTATTATTTCTACCTCCAGGCACAGGTAAAACGAGTATCTGTACTATTTTGAGGTCAGATGCTTTAAACTGTATACTTCATTGCTCAATTTGAAGATAAAATTTTACAACCTAAGTTACACACTTTTCAATATACATTTCCTTGAATGAAAACATTAACATCTTCAAATCCATGTACTTATTTATTTAAAGGGAAACAGAAATTTATATAATGTATATTATTATTCTAATTTCTGATCCTCTTCATAGTTTATATAATAACATTCATTTTCTTGACATAAGATGGGTAGATTCCCTTACAGAACAACTGTTTCCTTTGGTTCCTATGACATTAAGTTTAAAGTTGAGCTGAGCTTTTCGAAACGCTCCCCCGTCGATGTCATGGACAGTTATGTGCAATTCTGTCTGTGTAACGGATACTTGCGAACATACCCTAACTCCCCTGTTTAGATTCATCATGGACAGAAACATCAGGCCATGCAGGCCTTGGGACAGAGCTGCAGCTATATTCATCTGTTGAAGGAAACGAACAGTCCTTCTGTCTTCAGCTCAAAAGTAGTTTTATCTTTGGATAGAAGTCTCTGGAGTTGACGCTGAAACTTTGTGTCTACTTTGATAACATCTCACTTTTCAAGAAGCGTTAGAAAAATACCATGACTCACTGTACTTGATTGCCAGGTGGGAAGGCAAGTGTCGAGGGTCTTTCAGGGAGCATTTACTCATGATTATATGTGCATTCAGACAAGAGTATAATTTGTACCTTGATTGTCACTCACTGTAAATTTATTATTAAAATAAGACAAGGAGCTCCCTTCAGCATAATGATGCTTCCAGGCTTTGTGACATGACACTTATGCTCTGACGGCTTTGGGGGGAAAGCTCTTTCTTCCACTTACCCAAAAACTTTCCCAACACCAGGGATTTGACAGCATTGAATTCTGTCCCCGACGACAGTGTGACTTCTCTCTTTGCACTCTGGTTAACCTATAAAATGTCACAAGGGAAGTGAACATGAAAAAGAGGCACAGTTTTAATGATAAGAAAGCAAAGAAAGACTAGGAAAAGATGGTGAGAATAAATCACTAGTTATGTGTGCTACAACAAAGCTTTAAATAACTCATCTTCAAACAGCATTTAGAAGGGAGAAATGATCTTCCAAACACCAGCCTTGACACCCCCCAGTACCTACTCCTTTTTACTACTTTACTCTTCTCCACACTGTACCTGTACTTGGCAGAATCCACCAAAGGATAGAAGCACATTATATAAGCTTAAATCTTTTTCTCTGGGTCAGACTTGATACATAAAACCAAAAATATAATTCTATGTACAGATTTAGCATATATTTACTCCAAATGCCAAAGATAATTTATTTACTCTTTTCTGACTTGAGTTCATTTTCTTATTTATTCCTTTCAGAATGAGTGTCTTATACACTTTAACTTTGTGTTTAAACTGTTGTCGTATCTGTTCTTTTATAATTGCATAAGGATAGGTTCCTACTGAAATACCAATTAACAAATGCCACCAGTAGTCACCATGATGAACTACACACCATTTCCCTACTGAATAAAGTAAAACAAAAAGGACATCTTCATATTTTAAAAGACCAACAAGTAATAATAACTTGGATAGAATCATTGCTAACCAAACAAAACACTCCCTGGCTCTATTTGGCTTTCTCTCCTTGATCTTAGAGAACAACACTGAAAGGGTTGCTTTCCTCTTAACAGATTTTTGCATTAGTGTACTTTTTCTCAGCCTCATAACAGTAGTTATTTTGACTCTTTTGTTGTGTATATGTTTGCTGTGTTACCTCCACAGAGACCATTGCTTCTTTCCTGTTGATCTTCAGCTGATGAAGGTGCCCATCAGCCATGTTTTTAAAATCAAAGTTAAAAGCATCTGGTTCTTGATGTCTGTCTAGCTTGTACCTAATCTGCAAACTTCCTAAAGAGGAACATAAATAACATTTTAAATTAAAAGGGGAAATAAAAATGATTAAGATGTAATACATAAATGTACCAATTTCCTAAGATGAATGAAATTATTATATATTATAAATGCATACATATATAAAAATTAAAATGGCCTTTTAAAAAGTGCTCAATGCAGATTCTAGATCACTTTTACCATAACTTACTTAATACACTTTTGAATCTGTTTAGCACTGATTTCGATGCTGTCATTCCAACCACTGTCTCTCCTGAAATTGTGGTAACTTAATTGCTATTCTAGTGCCAAATTTTGAGTCCAATTTTACTGATTTTAAAAGTCAAGACCCAATGCACTGATAATAAGTTGTCTCCCAAATACTTATCAAATAAAAAGATTCAAGTCATACATATGAAAACTCGGAACTCATATCTAAATCATGACCATAGTTCTAGATCCCTGCCATTTTTCTAATTCAGAGTGTCTTTTTGTTCCCCCTTCACACAGAAGATATATTCACCATTGGTGGCCAGGATAACTGAAAGGTATTCTTCATAGTAGGAGCTCACATAGAGCAGTGAGCTTGGAGTTTCTGTGGTCTGGAAGCTCAGTGTGATGGTTTCGCTGGAAAATGTTATGTCCTTTTGTAATGAAGAAGCTGTCAGGGAGCTGGTGTTCTTGCTTAAGATGTAATATTCTTGAAAATTATAGGTCATTGAAGAGCCAGTTTCAAAATAGGCAGAGATCTCTGGAATTGAACATATTTTTGTTAACAAAACATAAGTACAAGAGTTTATTTTTAAGTATATTTAAATAATGAATCCAGTCCTTTAGATCTTGGTAGATAAGTGAAATATTTTTGTTTTGATTTTTTTTTTAATTTTTTAAATTCAAATTTTAAAAAAGTTTCAAGAACAGAGTAACAAATTCTGGAATACAATCCAGAAATGAATAATATTTAATGGAGATTTCACTTAATTCTCCAAATTACCTCCATCTTAGATTTACACGTTTTTTATCCGGCATAAATGTATAATTTAAAGGCAACCTCAGTAAGTGTTTCCAGGGAATTAATTTTTAAACCCTTTAGTAAGATATACATAATCCATATACCATAAAATAGGCCTGAGTAAAGTGTAAAACTCTATGATTTAGTATATTCACAGATTTATACAGCAATTACTACAATCAATTTTACAGCATTTTCCTCATGCTTCCCCACACCCAAACTCCACCCAAAATTTCCACAATCTCTGTTTATCCCCAGTATCATAGCACAGCAATCTCTTATTTATTTTCTGTCTTTATAGTTATTCCTAAAATGGAATTTCACATCATGGAATCATACAATAATGTGATCTTTAGTGACATGTTCCTTTCACTTAGCATACTGTCCAGGTTCATTCATTTTGCAAGATTTATTCATTTATTCATGACAAGGATAAGTCCACACATACCAGTTATAATCATCAATGTTAATGTCTCAATTCACTAATTGAAAGAAATAGACTGGCAGAATGGGTCAAGAAGCAAGATCCAACAATATGCTGCATACAGGAAACACACTTAATTCAAAAAGAAATTCATAGACTGAAAATTAAAAGGTGGAAAACAATACTCCACGTGACAGGATCCCAAAAATAAGCAGGAGTAGCTGCCATCTTTGCAGATCAAGTGGATTTCAAATTGACACTGATTAAGAGAGACAAAGAAAGACACTACATCCTAGTAAAGATGAAGAGATGACAATCACAAATATATATGCACCAAACACTAGTATATGCCCAACTATATAAAACAAATACCAACAGACATGAAAAATCATATAAGCAATAACACAATAGTAATGGGGGGCCTCAATACTCCACTGTCACTAATAGATCAACTAGACCGAAAATAAACAATGAAATATTAGAATTCAAACTCTTGAACAAATGAACTTAACAGATGTTTACAGAGCATTCCACCCCACAAAATCAGAATACACGTTTTTCAGCTGCATATGGGTTGTTCTCCAAAAGAGATCACATACTTGCTAGTGTTAAGTAAGTGCAAAGGATTTGAATTGACCCCCTGTCTATTATCAGACCATAGTGAAATGAAATTGGAGATCAATAGGCAACGACACCATAAGAATTTCAGAAACAAATGGAAATTGAACAACACACTCCTGAATAACCAATGGGTCACCGAGGAAATTAAAGAAGAAATCATACAGTTCCTACAATTAAATGACAATGACAATACAACATATCAGAATTGATGGGACACTATGAAAGCATTTTTATATGGGAAATTCACAGCACTAAATATACATATTAGGAAAACAGAGAGAGCACAATTAAACAACCTGATGCTACACCTCAAGTTTCTGGAAAAAGAAGACCAGGACAAACCCAAAGCTCATAGAAGGGAGGAAATTATAAAGATCAAAGCAGAATTCAATGCAACGGAGACTAGAAGAATGATACAAAAAAAATCAACAAGGCCAAGAGTTGGTTCTTTGAAAGAATACACAAATTTGACAAACCCTTAGCCAACCTTATGAAAAAAAGGAAAGAAAAGGCTCAAATCCATGCAATTAGGAATGAAAAGGGTGAAATTACAATGGGCCCAGCAGAAATCCAGAGGATCAGCAATACCTACTTCAAGAACCTATATACCAATGAGATAGAAAATACAGAAGAAAAGGACAGATTCCTAGATTCATGTGAATTACAGAAGTTGAACAAAGATAAAAATTTAAATGACCCAATATCAATGAATGAAATTGAAAGTGTAATTAAAAACTTACCAAATAAGAAAAGCTCAGGCCCTGATGGCTTCAGTGCTGAATTCTACAAGACATTTAGAGAGAAACTACTACCGCTACCATTTAAACTCTTCAATGAAATTGAAAGGGAAGCCATACTCCCAAATTCATTCTTGGAAGTAAGTATCAGCTTGCTCCCCAAAGCAGAGAAAGACCCAATTGAAAAAGAGAACTACAGGCCATTCTCACTAATGAACATAGATGCAAAAAGCCTTAATAAGATACTGGCAAATAGAATGCAGAAGATCATCAAAAAGATCATATACCATGACCAAGTGGTATTCATTCCAGGGATGCAGGGATGGAAATCCATAAATATAATACACTATATTAATAGAGCCAAAGATTAAAAGCTATCTGATCATCTCAATAGACTCAGGAAAAGCATTCAAAAACATCCAACACACATTCATGATAAAAAAAACACTACCAAAAATTGGAATTGATGGTCTCTACCTCAATCTGATAAAAGCCATCTATGAAAAACAAACATCCAATATCATACTAAATGGTCAAAAACTGAGAGCCTTCATGCTAAAATCAATAACAAGACACGGATGTGTACTATAACCACTCCTGTTCAATATAGTTTTGGAAACATTAGCCACAGCAATTAGGCAAGAGAAAGAAAGGAATAAGTTAGGAAAAGAAGAAGTCATATTGTCAATACTTACAGATAACATGATACTCTATATAGAAGAACCTAAAAACTCCACCAAATGTCTTCTAGACTTAATAACCAAGTTCAGCAAAGTAGCTGGATACAAGGTCAACACACAAAAATCAATAGCTTCTCTGTACACAGAAAACAGACTCACTGAGTGAAAAATGGGACAATCAATTCCTTTTACAATAGCATCCAAAAAATTGAAATACCTAGGAAGCCACCTAACAAAAGAAATCAAAGCCCAATCTCTACTTTGAAAAGTATAGCACTCTAAGAGATTGATGAGGATATCAGAAAATGGAAAGACATCCCTTGCTCCTGAGTAGGAAGAATCAGCATAGTGAAAATGGCCATACTTCAGTAGTCATAACAGACTACTGTTACAGTGTAGTTTCTTTTTAGAAATGGCTCTCTGAGTAAATGTCACTGAATCATGGCTCACTAGCCTCTTGGTTTCCTTCTTGCTATATAGATTCAATGCAATCCCAATTGAAATTCCAGCAGCATACTTCACAGACCTTGAGAAAACAATCCAAAAATTAATTTGGAACAAGAAGAGACCTAGAATAGCAAAAGCAATTTTAGGCAATAAAGAGAAGTTAGGGGGTATCACAACCCCCAACTTGAAACTATACTACAAAGCTACTGTGATAAAAACAGCATGGTACTGGCAAAGCAATAGACGTGAGGACCAGTGGAACAGAGTAAAAGATGCAGAAATGAGTCCAGACACACTCAGCCACCTCATCTTTGACAAAGGAGACAAACATCCTCAATGGAGAAAAGATAGCCTCTTGAATAAATGGTGCTGGAAAAGCTGGGTTTCAACTTGCCAAAGATTACAACTAGACCTATATGTCTCACCATGCACTAATATAAAAATGGATTAATGATCTAAATATTAAGACAGAAACACTAACCTAGTTGAAAGAGAGGTTCGGTAGAACACTTGAAGACATTGGTGTAGGAAAAGATTTTATGAACAAAAACTCAGTTGCTAGTGAGCTAGCACAAACAATCAACAAGTGGGATGTCTTCTTATTAAAAAGCTTCTGCACAGCAAGAGAAACCACAAACAGTGTGAAGAGACAACTCACAATGTGGTAAAAAATTTTCACCAGCTGGTCCTCAGACAAACAAAGAATTTTTAAAAATCAGACACCCCAAATTTAAAGACCCAGTCCAAAAATGGGCATCTGAAATGAACAGACGTTTCTCAGACAAAGAAGTAGAAATAAGAAATAAACCTGAAAAAAGGTTCAACATCACTGGTCGTTGGAGAAGTGCAAATGAAAACAACACTGAGACTCCACCTTTCCCTAGAAAGAATGGCTGCTACCATGAAATCAACCAATAGCAAATGCTGGCAGGGCTGTGGGGAAAGAGGAATCCTGCTCCACTGCTGGTGGAAGTGTGGATTGGTGCAACCACTGTGGAAATCGGTATGGAGATACCTCAAAGAACTAGGATTGGAAGTCCCATCTGACCCTGCTCTTCCCCTGCTGGGTATCTTCCCTAAAGAATTAAAAGAGTCATACCACAGTGATGTATGTGCACCCATGTTCACAGCAGCACAATTTGTAATAGCTAAAACTTGCAAACACCGCCAGCGTCCATCAATGGGATACTGGACAAAGAAAATGTGTTTTTAAAAAAATAAAATGGAATACTACTCAGCCATAAAAATGAGAAATTAGAGATATTTATATCTGAATGGATGCACAATGAGGCCATATTCTTTTTTTCTTTTCTTTTCTGTTTGTTGTTGTTGTTGTTTTGTTTGTTTTTTGGTACTGGGGATCAAATTCAGGCCTTTGCTCTTGCGAGGTAGGTTGATGGAACCACTGAGCCAAATCCCCGGCCCCCCATACTCTTTTTTTTCTCCTCATTGAGTTTATTGGTACAGTACAGTTACATTTATCACTCGGATCTTGCACCTTTACATGACAGGTCTTGGTTCTCATTTTTTCCCCATACCCCTGCCCTCCTTTCACCCCCTCCCATTTTTTCACTTTCTCATTTTTTTTCTTTTCCCTTATTTCCTTTTCCCTACCCTTCCCACTTCCCCTGAGGTCACACTCTTAAGTGATATAAATATGACACACGTGTAAATACCAAATAGCTTCTCTAGTGTGAGAAGCTGAAATTGTAAATGAGGACTGAAAGCTATAATAGATAATGTGAAATAGGAAGAACAGGGACAAAGAGGAAGAGGAAATGGGAAGGTAGGGAAAAGGAAAGAAGGGAATGGAATTAATATGAGAAAATA